GTGAAAAGAACTTATTCATCTTCTGTTTTTATTTTGCATAAGGAAATAATGCATGGCTAATACCAGTTTCCAGTGACAGTAAAATAACATTTCCTAATGAGAACTCTGGGAAAATGAGAGGGAAGAGGTGGATTATATTTCTTTTAGCACATTTGCATCCAGTGATCAAAAATACTGGATAGAATTGGTGAATAGTGACTCTTGAAGTGGATGATGGCATCTGTAGAGCCAAAAATTTGCTGACTGAATGCTGCTTTTATAGAAATGTGCGGAATTAAATACTGTTACACTGCGTGTTGCTATGGATAATGTGCTCAAACATGAAAGGAAACATTTCCTCACTGCTTTCTTCCTACCTCTTTTCCTTTTCTGAAAATGGGATGTACTGAAATACATCAGATTGCTAAAGAGAGAGACATAAGGAGGGTAGGTAGAGAAAATTATTTGATTGCTGATACTCACAGAGTTTATGCATTCATAAATAAATTCTTAGAGTATTTGTTCATCATTGAGTGAGAAGTCTTGTTTCCTTCAAAACAAAACCAAAATGCATTGACAGTGGATGTGAATTGTGCTTTTTAAAGAATTTTTGTATGTTACTTCCTTTCAGAAAGCTGATGATCTACTGATAAAGTTACTGTTTTCTCTTCTAAACAAAATAAAAAAAGCATAGTATCACACTTTCTATATATATATAAAAAATCATTAGCACTTCTATTTATTTAAATAAAATATAAAAGACAGCAAAACAGATTTTTCTTTTTTAAATGGCTAAAAGAAAACAAAATAGTCACTAAAAAGAATAACAGCTTTCTGGGCCTAAATATGCTTTGATGTGAGGGAAAGGAGAGTTGCGTTCCCTTCATAAGTAAAATAGGAGGAAGGTAAAGAGCATGTATAGTGGGATTTTGGGTTTGGTTGTTTTGGGGTTTTATTTGCAAGTATAAGTGTTGGAAAAATTTAGCTATTCAAAAAAGAATAAAGTTAACAGTGCAGATTAGTAATATTTGTATCATTTTATGCAAATGCTTGGGAGGATGTTGCAAAATATGAGACTCTTTCTATGTGCTTTCAGCTGGGGGAGTTTTGAATCTTGAGTGTTAAGCTCTTAAAGTACTGTAATAATTTACTGCACTGGCAAAGTAATGATATCTTTCATCAGCGTATTAATGATAATCATGCCTTTCCCCTCCCCTCCCTTGGTGTGTTAGGGTGAATATTTGTTTCAGCTTAGTGTTTGTTGTGGTTTTTACCCTCCAACTGGCTTGATTTTATAGGTGTATAGTTTCATAAAAAAAAAAGTCAAACCCTCAACTTGGGTAAATACTCAAGTGACTGAATATGAGAATGTGCAGCTTTGCTCCATTTGTTGCTTTTGTTTGGTTGGTTTTGTTGTTTTTTGGGTTTTGTTTTTGGTGGGGTTTTTTTTGTTTGTTTTTTGTTGGATTTTTTTTTCTTAGCCTTCAGTGCTCTTTAAATTTTGTGGGGTTGTTTGGGTTTTTTTTTGTGCCACATGAGGTGTTCTTATCTAGCATTCTCTATTACTCTCATACTGCATTGAAGTCATGAGCAAACTGTGTGTAAGTAACTTTCAGTAACTTCTGGCAGACAGGAGGTTGTCTCTGTTCTTGAATACCTACAGTAGCTAGTTATTATCTTTGACCTGTAACTCTTGAAAAGGACACTGCCAGAGGAAAAGTTTTCCTAAGGCTCAGATGCCTCAGTATTTCATGTACCAGTTGTAATTTAGAGTTACTTTTCTCTGATGACTTCTATTGAGAATGTCCATATGTGTCCATGTTTCTATTTTGTAATTAAAGAAAGATGTGTACTAATATTCCATAAGGTAGTATTTTTTTTTAACTTTGGGTGAATTTGTGTTTGTTCAAGATTACTGTATTTAAAGGTCTGTGGCCTTCAGAATTTTAATTTGAAGGAATGGTGCAGAAGGTGTTATGTGTAAGCAGCAGATAGGCAAGGATATCTTAGTGACTCTATTCTAAGGAAAACGTCAGTTAACTAGAAAGAAAAAAAAAACGTATTTTCACTGTTTACATGGACTGTCACATGTAAATCCCGGGACAAATGTCAGAATAATTTAGCAGATAAAAGCACAGCTGCTTCCGAGTCTTTCAGTATCTGTATTGATAAATACCTGTCATAGTCTGAAAACCTTGGAAGCTTGTGATTTATCAGTATGTCAGGAAAGCAAACTTTACAAAAGAATAGCTAATGACACTTACTTTAGGAGCTGTAGAATTATCTGTTTGTAAGTTAAATTTTATGTCAAATGAAATTTTCTAACTTGTAGATGTTATTTCTAAGCAAAAGACTCATCATAGATGTGAATTGACTGAGTATGTGTATTCATACTGTTGTTAATCTGTTTAACCTTTTATGTCTAAGTAGGTGCTCTCTGTCAAGGGTTAAAGCAAGGTTCAGATACAAAAATATCCCTTCCTTTCAAAACATAATTTTAAATAAGATATGACACATACATGTGTCATATACATGGGTGTGCATACTGGTAGATGGGTAGCTATAGAAAACATACCAAAGCAGCAGGTTTGATTAGATGGAAACCTGACAATCAGATTTATGAATTACTTCTGCAAAGTCAGCCAACTTTGGAGTGCATTGCCCTAAATGGAGTGATACCTGCTGGGATGAGGAAACCCCACTCCAGTTTCAAAAGCTGGTGGCACAGTAGGAGAAATGGTTGCCTATGGTTGCAGGGTTGTTCTTAAAAACAAAGAAATGATTCCCAAAATAAATAACACAAACACACATAACAAAAAATCACAAGTAAACAAGAAAAGAATCTACCACCACGGCCTGCCTCCCCCAAAAAATCCCACTCAGACATCCCAAAGCCATCAGTGTTCATTGAGAGCTCAGTGATCACAGATCACAAGGAGTTTCTTTGTGGCTTTTTAGGTGTGTCTTCTCAGAAATAAGATTTGTGAACTAGTAAGCGCTAAGGAAAAGCAGCATGCCTGTGGTTTGGTTGGAGCGTTTGATGGCAGCACGTTAGGTATGTGTGTTTAATCACATTTTAAAATAAGTCTCCTTAGAATTTTCAGTGTTTTCAAGAGAAAAAATCCCAGTAATGATGAGGGTGTCTGACAGACTGAAGATGGCAGGTTACATCTGCTAGGTCAAAGACTGCAGAATATGCTTTTAGCTTCTTGTCAGCTTTGTCTAGAGTTTTGTTTTGCTTATTATTGAAACATCCAGTAAAGGTGTCTTAGAAAGGATCATAAAGTCTTTGGGTTTTTTTTTGATATTTAGAAAAAGTCACAAGATTTTTCTTGGAAGAACTGTGGATGTGTTAGGTGTCTTGTGTACTTTAGAACTGACTAACCTTTCCGTGAAACTACAGTGGGGAAATTGGTTTTCTTGAAGCACGTACAGTGCTGAATCTGACTGAATCCTATTTGTTTTGCAGTTCAGTCTGTGTAGTTCTGCGGAAAGCAGTGCAATAGAAATCACTGTAGCTTTCTTATATCACAGTGTGTGGTTTTACTCCGAGTTAATAAAAGAACTGCATATATGTATTTTTTAATTACTTCTATCATTTTGGGATCACAGACATTTCTAATTCAGGGTCAGAGCGCGCTCTTTTCCCCTCTTGTAGCTGTGGAGTGTGGATTGATGGCAAGTATGTACCGGCTTCAATGTATTGGATAAAGACAAACTGGAATTTACATCTCCAATTATGTCTTAATAAATTGCAAATTGAGCTAATGTTTGTAATTTTAATCAAGTGATAATTTCTGAACTAATTTTGTCCCTGGCTGGTGATGTATTTAATGTCGAAGATGGTGCTTACTGATAATTTTTCCAAGTTCCAATTGATGAAAGGTTTGAAATGTGTTGATAGATTTCTACATATTCATTTACACGTATTAAAAGTAAAATAGGCTTGTTAAAAGTGACATCTGAGTAGGTGTGATATCTAGGTAGTTTTTGACAGAATCTGAATAAACTGGTCTACTGGTGATGATCAATTTTTCAAGCGTTGATACCACCTAGTGGTAAAAAAGTTGTTGCTTGTTTACATAATATGTATTCACAAGAGTATGAAGTTTGTGCCATATATAAAGGAAGGGAAATTAAACTGTCTTTTGTAACATTATTTATACATGCACAGTATTGCAAAAGCTGTTTGAGGGTGGGCAGATAAGAGTTTCAATGCTTCACTGCTTGTTGTGTATAAGGATGGTTTTGGTACAGTTTGAAACATGTTTACTATGTCCTATTAAAAAAAAAAGGGTAATTTTCATTAAATGAATGAGGCTAATGGGAGCTTTGTACAGGTGTATATAAAAAAGTCCTGTGTGTATATATGCACAGAAAGCATATGGGTTTGAGGTTTTTTAATAAATAAATCATCTTTGGAGTAAAAGTTTGAATTCAGGTAGCATTAAGGCTGTGAATACAGGTTGGGAATTGCTGGCATAGTCATTAATGAGCCTTTGCAGTGAAACAGGATGGTGAGCTGGTCTTGGGGGAAAGTAGCCTGGCAAAATGTTGACTTGGATGCATTCCCAGAACTGGTTCAGAATGGATCTGCAGAGTTCATCCTATGAGCATAAAGAGGGGTGTCGTGTGTTGGGGAGTGATGGGGAGAGGCTGAAGGAAGGCAGGGCTCCCACTTCTGGGGGTGGTAGCAGTGCATGCCAGGCAGTAATGACTACAGTGTTGGTCACTTCATATAGCATATGTCAAGCAATATGTCAAGATCAGATTATGGAAACTACCTTTCTAAGTAAAAGATTGCCCAACTAATCTTTAAAAGTGCAGAACGTCAGCCCTTTCAGTTATGGTACTAGGTGAAACCATTTTTCATTTCTTATTGCCAGCTGTTGTAGGTGCACCATAAAAGTTATGTTTGGCATTGTAACATCTGTAATGTGACTATTAACATTTAAGACAGTAACTTAGCTAATTCTGACTGATGTATGTAGAGTACTTTATCTTTCCCTTTTCATTTGCAGGTACTTGTTTCACAGTGGCAATCCAGAGCACCCAGGAGACATACTTCTGAACACTACTGTGGAAGTTTTGCCTTTTCAGGTATGAATTTACAAATTTGTCCTCTCCATTATAAGATAAAACTTCCTCATTTTATTGATGTTTTTAACAGGGTGAGACGTGAATATTACTTTCTTTTAACTGTGGGACCTTGATGCTCTGATGCTCTCATATTTTTTTTTAATTGGATCTGTGTACAGAAAACTATTGTAACTGTTCAGATGTTCATTCAAGATGAAGTCTGCTACAAGCGCCGTTGGTAATTTGGAGATGGGAAAGCTTATTTTCTTAAAATTCTGCTACTGTTACAAAAAACCCTAAACCAACAACTTCTCCTCTCCTATGTATTCTGGAAAATGCGAAAGCTAAGTCACTCTGCTTTTTGAGAATAAAAAGGCCTTGGATTGGGAATTAACACACACCCAAACCATACTAGATGTTGAAATAGCTGTACTCATAAACCAAATGTGTTTCTTTCTCTTGATTACTGATTATCAATTTTTTTCCATAACTCACTCTGAGTTTTTGCTTGGGAGGGCACCACACTATCTAAAGTATATTCTTGATGGGAGCCAGATGCTGTGGGTTCTTTTTCTTCAACTAGATATTGTAGCTAACCATGTATATCACAAAACTTTGTGACGCGAATAAGGTATTATTTCAGTCAAGTTTCATTTTATTTACTGTTAAAATAGCAAAGTAATCCTCTCTTCTCCTATACACCTTGGGTAGGTACCTTGCCTTAAATAACCATATGCTGAAAAGTAAATGAACATGGAAGACTTCACTTCTCCAGTCTTGCAGTCTGCATTCCTTAGGAATGTGCAAAAATAGGAAATTCCAACCACTCCACCCCTGAAAATAAATTTGTCTGTTTGATTCTAATTATACAACATGATACGTGGGATATTATATTGCTGGATATTATATCATATTATAAGATTTTTAGGTTTTGTTTCTCAAGACTTTTGGAAATATATTCAACCACAAAGCCAGCAGCAGCTCTCACTTCATGTGGTCCCAAAATACCACAAGAATGCACACGATTATGAGAAAAAATGTGCATCAAGCATCTCTTTTTTTGGCTAAACTCAACTGTGAAATGTTCATCAAACCAGAGCATCCCTCAAGAACGGAATGCTACTGAGCTTCTGTTGCTATTGACACAATTTGTGGGGAAGTAAACAGGAAATTCTGCATCTGGCCCCTTCCGAAGCCATTGGTGTCAGCAGATAATGTCACCAATATGGGGACAGTGGCTGCAGAATGATAGGTACTCTCCTGAGAGAACTATTTCTCCACCATAGACTTCAGAAGAGCTGGAAGCCTGTTCAGGTACTTCAGCCCTAATCCTCCATAAGCAGAATTCAGAAAAACAAAAAACAACCCTTAGAAACCAGAGTGTCCCCAGCCTGGATTTGTCTGGGACTCAAGCAAAACCCTCAAAACCCTCCAAAAACCCAACAAAACCCAAATTCCAAACCAACCAACCAAAACTCCACCACGTCCCAACTCCCTCCTGAAACCAAAAAAACCCATTGCTTTTTCAGCAGCCTTCCTTAAAGGTAGGAACTAATAAAAATAAAATATAAAATAAAATACAAAATAAAATAAAATAAAAGCTGATGGATTTCATCTCCTGTTTTGTCAAGCATTTTTAATTGCTTCATAGCAAATTCTTATTGTGGGTCTTTTAGTATGGGATCATGTGATTCTGGTTGTAATTTTCCACCTGTTCTTGAAACTCTGGTCTGCAATTTAATTTTTCTGTTCTTATTAAAGAAGTTTATTGATAGCCATCCCTTTTTAGTGAGGCAGCAATAATTGCAATGCTTCCCTTCCTAGGCTGATGGCTTTTCACATCACCCAAATTCTTACATCAAAAACTAAGCTGTAAGTTTCATTTGTTCTGAGAGAAATCTCTGGTTCAGCCATAAGAAAAGGCAGCAAGATCCTGCCTTTGCTGTGTCTGCTGTTGTCTGCTATGTATTCTGCTCACGTGACAGTTACCGTGCAAGTTACGTGGGGTGCTTAAAGTACTTCTTTTTTCCACTCTGGAGCCAAGTACCACTGAGTCCTGAAACACTGCTGCTTTTTCTTTCTTTGTGTTGGCTTGTCTAAGGCTATAAATAATTATCCTAGGCTGGTTCATAATTATTTAGAAAAGATGGATGCTGAATATATAACAAGACTGCACACGCATTTGTCTTTCCCTGGTAAAGTCCTGTGCCAGAATAAATGATCTTATTTATGCTTTTTTGTTCTAGAGTGAAGAAACGGTATTAAGCAAAGAAACCAAAGACAAACGTTTGGAGGATGGCTACTTTAGGATAGGTACGTCTCAGTGAAAAAAAATCTGTGTTGTTGCTACTGCAACAGTTAAGACATTTTCATGAAGACCAAACCAAACCTAAAACTGAGCTTTAATAGTTTGGTTTTGGGTCCATGACTTGTAGGCTTTACTTAATAATGTTCCAAATATTTCTTTTTCGAGACTAATGTGCTAAACAAAGATATAGTGTGACCCTGAGTTGTAGTGCAGCTGCATCTAACTTCTCTGCCAGGGTCAATCACCAAGATTATTGTAGAGGTGTTTCCAGGCTGTGTAAGATCACCTCTGCTACCCTGTGATGGTGCAAGTGCCTCCATGTGAGCTGTGTGCTTGGCCTGGGTTTGAACCCACCGTACAGCTGTCTTGCCGTGGGATGAGGTGGGCATATCCATGGCCAAGTGGCTATTGGGGAGAGTGCCAGGATACCTGTTGTAAAGGACAAGAAATTTTACTTGTGGATTGTATTTAATTGCTGGACATATGTCGGGTATCCCTGTTACAGTGAGAGCAAGTTTTTTCATCTTAGTGAATAGCAGTTTTTCTGTGTTTTAAGCGTAAAGTCTAAGTGGTCTTTTAAATGGGATTCTTATTCCTCCTAATATCATAGAATCATAGAATAGTTAGGGTTGGAAAGGACTTTAAGATCATCTAGTTCCAACCCCCCTGCCATGGGCAGGGACACCTCACGTTAAACCATGTCACCCAAGGCTCTGTCCAACCTGGCCTTGAACACCACCAGGGATGGAGCATTCACAACCTCCCTGGGCAACCCATTCCAGTGCCTCACAACCCTTACAGTAAAGAACTTCCTCCTTACATACAATCTAAACTTCCCCTGTTTAAGTTTTAACCCATTACCCCTTGTCCTATCAAAAATATAATTAAAGATCCTCTAAACAGGAGTACATCAAGCAGAGCATAAATAATATCCCTTGTCCTTAAAACACATAAGCCTTCCTGAAAACACATAAACCAGAGGCTTCATGTTTAGCTCCATGAAATTATATTAAAATCTGTGCCAAAATCTTTTTGGGTGCTCCTACTCTTAGACATTTCCAAGGTTTTTTATTCTTACATGTAATCCTGTTTGGATTGATGCATCTTCAACTAGGTCAGGTTGTCCAGAACCACATCCAGCCTGGCCTTGAATGTCTCTAGGGATGGCGTACCTACCACCATCTGTGCAACCTGCTCCAGTGCTTTACCATCCTCACTGTAAAACATTTTTTCCTCACATCCAGCCTGAATCTCCCCTCTTTTGGTTTAAAACTATCACCCCTCATCCTATCACAACAGGCCCTGCTAAAATGTCTCTCCCCATCTTTCTTACAAGCCCCTTTTAAGTACTGAAAGGCCTCAATAAGGTATCCGCAGGGCCTTTCCTTCTTCAGTGTGAGCAACCCCAACTCTCTCAGCCTTTACTTATAGGAGAGGTGTTCCAGCCCTCTGATTGTTTTGTGGCCTATCTTGTTTGATGCTGCAAAGCTGAATCTGATATCAAAATTGTTTTGAGAATGATTCCAGTCAACCCCACAGCCACCAGCAGCAGGTTTCACCTGTCAATCGTGATATTACAGGTACATTTTTAGGGGCACAGGTTTCGTACTTTAGTTTGTTGGACAGGAGTTAACTGAAGAGATACTTTACCTTCTTTTACAGGTAAATTTGAAAACGGTGTAGCTGAAGGAACAGTTGACCCCAGCCTAAACCCTATTTCATCATTCCGGCTTTCAGTGATACAGAATTCAGCAGTTTGGGTGATTCTGAATGAGGTGAGAGATGGTATAACCTTTTAAAAGGGAAATTGGCAAATGTGAGATTTCTTCATTCCATTTTGAAGCTCAAAATTTTGGCTAATGCTGAAGCAATTATCTCTTCTTACCGAGAAATTTAATACCCTAAAACATGACTTTGTTTTTTCTGATTCTCTATTTCAGATTCATATTAAAAAGATTACAAACTGATCACAGAAACCTGCTTTAGAGGAAAAAGAAAGAATCCTTAACTTTTCCAATAAGATCTGACATCTTTAACAAGTCACAAATTGAAAATACTGAGCATGCACCTTATTCCAAATTTCTTTCATTTTCACTTGAACTCTACCTCTTGTGAAATCTACTGTAGAAGAGAAGATTGTATTGACCCCATCTTACCTGATCCATCCAGAAACTGATGCTCCACACTGATAATGTTCGTCTGAGGCCAAAGTTGTCCTCCACTTTAATGTGACTTTACCATCCTATGGTTACAGATCCCTGCTACGCTTAACCTGTACTATTTTGATAGTATAGTACTATAGAGAAGTTGTACATATTGTTACATTCCTTGAAGAAGAAGAAAAAAAAAATTATTGTTAAATATGTTTTATGAAGGGGGTACTTTCGGAGTTCCATTTATTTTCTATGACAAGAACCCTCTTTTATAGACTGTCAGGGATATATATTAAAAATGTTAGGGATATTTAATTTATTAAAATAATTTGAAAAGTACATATTTTTATGCAGTAGAATTTTAAATTGATATAGTTTTTTTATGAATTCTCTAGTTTAAGTTATCTTTCTACATTTTCCTTTGGAGATGCAAACATTAATACCATATTTCAACTATACTGCCATGTTTAAAAAAACCCTAGATTAAGTTTCTAAATTATGTAGTTTTGTACACGGAATGTGAATGATGTTCAGAGGCATTAACAGAGCTCCGAAGAGCATTTTTCTTTGGGGCTATGAATTTCCACTATGTACAGTTTGTAGCCACATGAAAAGCATGCTGAAATGTCTTGTTTCATATTATGTACAAAATCTGCAGTGATTTTAGATTGAATCCATTGCATTTTAGAAGAATTTTTTCAATTCCAAACAGTTCTTTCTAAAAATCTTTGTAGACATTTCCTAGCCTGGACAAATTCATTTTCTGTACTGAAACAAGATCATTCTCCAGCTTTGCTTTGGAATGACAGAGGTTAACTTTGATCAAAACAATTAATAGGAGTTAGATACACTTGATCTACAGAGGTATCCTTTTAAAAAGTTCTGTTACCTCAGTGTGTAGTTCAGATACATTACATACTCATTACAGTGAGTAGTTATAGTTTATTTTCTTCCATTGTTCAAGAATGAGGTTTCAGTTTGACTCCTTTATTGATCAGTGTTGTAATTCCCACTGACTTTTAATAGCATCTGAATTTGGCCTCAAATTAGTATTCTGCCTTTTTGTTTCAAGGGAAACAACAGTGATGTTAAATGGATCAGGAACTTGGGCAGGAACAGAAAGTGATTTGGATTAGATCCAGAGTGGAATTGTTGCAGTACTAATGATGCCACTGCTCTTAAAAACTCCTTCAGCTTAGGTGCTTATGTATAAGGACATGGCCTTGGCAAAAATTAAGGTACCCAGTTAGAACGGTCAGGAAGAAGAGCAGAAATTCCTCTCTTTAAATAGGAATAAAGTGCCTGATTGACACTGGAGGGAGGCATCTACCCTGGCTTAGGGATTCCCTGCTGTGCTGTGAACCAGCCTCCTGGAACTGACATTTTGAAAGCTGGCCCAGTCTTTCCTGTGGAAAAGAAACCCTTCCATTATCCCCAACATTGAATCATCTAGTCTGGAAAAGGCTTTTAAGGTCTTTGCGGCCAGGGCACAGGTGCACACAACCTGTTGCAGGGTCCCTGATCTAGAGCAGGGCTCTTGAGTTGTTATCTACAGCATCAAAGTTTGACTAACAGATCTGGCCTCTTTTTTATGACGTATTTATAAGGAACAGGAGCCTAAATCTGACTCCCTGGCACTGCAAGCCATCACCACTCTTTCCCTCTGGCTTGTTGGAAAATTGTGTTGTAGCTTTGACAGTTCAGGATATTCAAGAGCTTAACTACTTCTACAGACTGTAGCTATTTTGTTTTAGCTATGTTGTCTGGGGACACAGGGAAGACGGGGTTTGTACGCAGAGCTAAGACCTTCTGTGTAGCTTGAAGAAATGTAGAAAGCTACCAGGCAGGCCTTGCTGACATTTTGGGATTGCATTGGATGGTGTAAATAAAATGTTACTTGGGAAGCTGGTCTTGCCAATAAAGACTGTGGGCATAAGCTAAGCACTGGCTTCATAAATAGGGTTTATTTTTGGATTTAGGAATGTGGATGGATAGGGTCCGAATCCTATGTGAATTTAACCTGTTGGGATGCCACAGCCCCGCTTGTCATACATGATGCCGTACCATCAAAGTATTGCCATGTGATGGCTTTTCATCACACGTTATCTACCAAATGTCTAAGCAAGTATTTAGGTTTTCTTCTCAGCTGTGCCTGTGAATGAATGATGCAAGTAATTCAAACCCTAGCTATATATTACAATTTAGATTGCAGAAATATGTTAGACACTGCAGTTCTTAATAGAAGTAGTTTTGCAGACAATGATTGTCATCTTTTTCCATGAGTTCAAAAGTTTATTGGTACCACTTATTTAAGAAAGCTGTGTGCTTATTCTCCAAGCATCGCTGTTCTTGATGTTTCATACTAGTTGAGGTGAATCATTGCTAATATATTTAAATATATAGAACCCTGACCACAGTGATTGTAGGACTCTGGTTAACAGTATATTTAGTTTTCAAAGATGTTGAGAGGAAACTTATCAAAGACAACAAATTAACTAGTGCTTGGCAAAGTATGGGGGGGGGGTTCTAAAGATTGTTGCATTTTTATTGCATCCTACTAGCAGAAGTTGGAAATACTCCAGGCTGCTCTAACACTTTAAATGTTCCTGAGCTTATATGTTCTCTAAATAAATGTGCCATGCTAATATAAATTATGTTTTGTAAATTCAGACCTGGTGTAATCAGATAGTTCTGCAAATTTCCTTGGAGATTTTGTTGAGAAATACAAAAAGGGAAAACTTTTTCTAGCTACTTATTTCTGCAGACAGCTGCTTTGGGCTTTCTGCTTTTCAAATTCCAGTCCTTAAGTCTGGGTTAAGTGGTGCTTTGGCTCAGCAGTCATCAGCTTGGGCGCTGTTTATGGTGGGTGTGCTCCAGAGGGGCTGGAGTCTCTTACACGTCTCAGTCGTAACTTACAGTATTACCACAACAGTTCCTCAGCATCTTAAACCTATTTCCTGATATTTGGGGAGGTTTTTTTCCCACCTGTATTTAATTTCAAGTTATTTTGTTGTGGCCTTACAAATACCCTCTAGGCCACTAAATCTTAGAGTAATCAAATCATGGAAAGCGTTTCAGAATAAACTGCATTATCGTATGATATCATGTTATTGTTATGATTCCTGTCAGCTCCTTCTGATGCTGTTAAAGCTTCAGAAAAGGGAACTTTGTGAAGCCAAAGGCATTACCAGAAACCTTCATTATCTGAGCAAATTATTCTTAACTTCTTGTACTGGATGCCAAACAGGATGGCTGGTATGAGTGCTGGATTTCCAAGCTGAGGAGGGTTGCTCTGGAGCAAGGAGATACAAAAGACTTGGTATGGCCTTGCTCTGCTTATTCAGTAGGTAGTGCTTCGGAAAGCTTTGTAAATAATGTGAACAGGATGTGATCCCAAAGTAGCACTTTTTATTTTTCAATTAAGGAGTGTTTCTAAAGCACTGTATAAGCTTTGCGCTTTTGCAGGCATCTCAACCATGCATTTGTACCTGTAGAAAATATTCTCATAGATACATCCGGTTTTTCTTAACTGAAAGGAGTCTTAGAAAAATTCCAACAGATAAACATATGATTCATGGACCAATGAAGGACTGGCTTCTTCTGTTGTATTGCTGCTTGTACAAACAGTTAAAGATGGTTTCAAAAACAGCTTTTAAGTACCTTGGGTCAGTTTAGAGCAAAGCCATTTATACTTTGCCCATGTGATACACAATTCCTTGAATGGGCTGGAGTATGATCAGGTCTTTGGAAAAAACTGAACAACTGTGTAACATCTTTCCTTTGTGGTTTTTTTCCTTAAGTGTATTATCATTTCAGTAGTCTCTGTTTTTTGTTGGAAATATTTGCTCCAGATGAAGTACTGTAGTAATTTGTAGTTTGCTTCCAATTTGGACAATACTATTTTAGTCTTTGGGTGGGGAGCACAAACCTTGGCCCTGACAAAAACTAACTGTAGGTTCTACATTTGTTCTTAGTAGGAACTATGTATTCTGAAAAAGCTGAAGTGAGTAACCATAGTAGTAAAGGGGAAAAAAGCCCTTGTGTTTTTAAATCACCTTTGCAATCACCAGCATAATGCTGAAAGGCCATTAAACAACTTGTGTTTTCAGGCTAGCATTGATTGCTGACGTAAGAAATTGGTCTTCGAGTGTCACTTTTCTGACCTTAGTGGCCTCTTAAGGGTTTTGCCGATTTCTGCTGTAAAAAGTGAGCTGCTAGAACTTTTGAAGTAGCTTAATTTTGAGAACAATGAAGTATTCCTTCAAGGGGACAAACTTTGATATCCCTAAAGGGAAGGTACGCAAGCCGCAAGTCCTTCATTGGTTTCACTGATATTACACCATGGGGCACTATGTATGAAGTATTTTCACTGCTGAAGTGAATTGGGTGATCACTGGTGCTGGATTCCTGTTAGGGAAAAGGTGTACAGTTGGGCTGCAGCTGCCTGCAGGCCAGGAGCTTGTGCCAGCAGCAGGGGTAGGAGCAGGTCCTAACTGGAATCCTTCACCTTCCATGGATCAGTGCTCCCCTTGTTAAAAGGGGAACTTTGCTCAGCATCTGCTGAGAGGGAAGCATGATTCTCTTCAAGCCTTAACAGTGGCTGAAACAGTACTGTAAGACGCACTGCCAGCATATTTGGTATTTTAAGATACAGTCTTTTCCATAGGCATCAAATTCTAGTATTGAAATAATTATGTCTTACTGTAACCAGTTTATTCTTGTGTTGTTCTGGAAACTGGATCGTAGTGCTCATGTTTCATACTGAACACTGCTTTGGAAAGTTGTCATCTGCCATTTCCAGAAGGTAGCATTTGAGATGGTCAGTTTATACCCCTTGCCTTGTGGCCCTTGCAGCTGCAGGCATTGCCATGAGCCCACCCTTGTAGCCAAATGAAACTTGTACTTTCCTTCTGTGTTCATTGACCTGCCACGTGTAAGGGTGGTTGCTAGAATAGAGATTGGTTTAAAAAACTTGCTGCTATACTTGGAAACCTGATATGGGTCATGTTAATTGTGCCTTTCATCACCGTTTCTTCTGTGTGCCAGAGTTGTCCATGTATATTTGAAGTAGTCATAAAAATAAACCTGTTCTCCAGTTCTTTCATGAAAGGAGGGGACAGTTTCATATATAGAGACAGCTGTTGCTTTACCATTACAATACTACAGAGATCCACATGTTCACCCAATCCAAGGCAAGGTATTCCAATATTATTCTTCAGTAGAACTGCTTTTTGGTGTCACTTAAAATCCTCATAATGTAGAGCTTATGCCAGTATGTGCAAAATAGCTGCAGTAAGAGTTATGCTAAATAGACTTGTTGCAGTTAAATTTAAGCTACAGAGATGTACAAGTAACGTTGTTTTAGGAATGTACTACAAAAGTATTTGAACAAAATTGCTAACATGTTTACTGTTGTAAATATTTTAATAAAAAAAGGACACTTCAAACTTTTTTACACAATTATCTACAATAAAGAGAAATTTACAACAATTTACAAAATGCTCTTTTCTTTACTGTCAAGACAGCTCAGATAAAATCAAAATAAACATTAGATACGTAAAGTCCTGGTTTTATTTCACTCTGTACTTATAGAAGGAACAAAGCATTTTGGTGAAGTTCCATCCACATGCCAAGGAGATCAAGTAGAGCATGATGAGAAGGGCGAACGGATACAAAAGAATAGCTGTGTTCTTCAAAAAGGGCAATGCTGAAACAGAAACAAAACCAGAGCAAATATGAAGCAGTGCCCTTTTCAAGAAAGTTCTTCATGTAGGATGGCCGTGGAGGAAGACATTAAGAAAAAAACAGTGCTACTCTGCCCAACTTCTGCTGTCATCTCTGCCCTACTAGTCCTACCACCATCACAGATCAGAGAGGACTTGAGGTAACTGGGGGAGTTAACACCCTGGGAGATGTTTTGTCTTAAACTCAGTACAGAATTTTTATCCAATGCAAATGTTTCAATTTGGATTTACACAGGAACTAGAAAAACAAGTTTTACAAGCCCTGTGGTCCTACAGAGCTAATACAGGGCAGGAAGCTTGTATGGTGAAGAATATAATTTTTCAGTTAAGATATCCACACAGCTGGGCAGGGATTGGTAAATTTCTATCAGACTTCTTTCACTACAGAGATAAAATTACTTCAACACTCAGCTGAGTCTCTTGTATTAATTCACAAATTAATATGCTGAAATTATGCTCTTGTTTTTAGCCAAATAGAAAAGAGGCTGCCATTACTCACCACTGTATCCTAGGAATGTCACATAGATGTAGTAGCCAATTGCAGTCAGCCATAATGTATTCCCAACAAAATAGCCAATGACAGAATCAGATATGATGATATCTGGAAGAGACAACTGCTCTCAGCTATTGTGACACAGCGCGATTCTGAAGCAAAGAACCCAAACTATTCTACTTACAGTTGATGAAAAACAACTGGATAAAATGCAAAATGACTAGAAGTGGATAGAAAGCATTCAGATGAACATCAAAGGCATATCCCCACTCCACATCATAGTCTCTGTTTTGCTGCTTCACCAAATACTTATTAGAAATGAACCTATATGAGAAGACAATTGAGAATGTTAATATGACTGTAGAGCTGACTGACAAAGCATTGGTTTGAGACAGTAAGACAGGTGTGATCCTAGCTCTACCCTAACAAAGCTTCCATTATCTGGGAGAAAACACACAAGAATTACGAGGCCAGGTTATTGCCAAAATGTTTTTTGTTAAAACTATAATTGCATCCCTTGCATTCAAGAGGCAGCTGAGACATTCCTGGTAATACAGAAACAAAGCTTTGTTTTAAACAGATCAGTGCTACAATTTATCACTGCAGTTACAGTTGGGTTGTACGCACAGGAGGTGACTTCAGAGAAGTGCCCATACACAATCAACACACCTCCTGTAGGGATGGCTTAACTCATCTTCACAGAACCACTGCACTGCAAGCACAGAAAGAGGGCAAGGATAACAGGCTTAAGGTGAGCCCATTCTTATTTTTGAAGACACATACTAACAGAATGTGCACTGCCTGGTGTGACAGGCTGAGGAACAAGCCTCAAGACTGTTTTCTCCAGCTGAAGTTCTGCTGACATCAGAAAATGTATCCCATTTATAAGAGGAACAAGAAGTCAATCCATGCTCAGAAATAAGAGACCAGAGTTTTTGTGGTAGCTTCCTCTGATGTACTTTCTATGCTAAGGGCAGGGTCAGAAGAAGGCAGAACATGGGTGCAAGGTGGAGAGAAACAAGAAGGGGTTCAGACTCACTAGGAACGGGGGGAGCTTTTGAAAAGAAAGTGATCCTGCATTGGAAGAAGGGACCTGAACCGAACTGGGGCCAGGTGATGGGCAGCAAGGCCTGCAGGAAGCTGACTAAGGGACAGAGAAAAACTGTCCTTCTAGCTCAGGAGACTGAATCCAGAGGCACAAATCACTGGAGGATGCAGGGAAGAATTACTCTGTGCTCTTCTCCAAGCAATTTATGGGTTACTGGGCCAGACAGCAGATGTACCTTTCATCTGTCAGCTACAGTTCTGGTATGTGCTTCATCCTGAATTTTGCAGTTGAAAATGGGAGTTCCTATTGTTTGAAAGGAATCTCCCTTTTCTGAGCGGTATTGGTTTAAGATGTCAGCTCTGTTCCCAAGAACTCAACTTTAAGGGCTCTTACTTCCTTATGTTCTTGGTAAAATAAAAATGTTTTCTTTGTTCCCCTCCCCTTGCCACAGCCCAGAAACAGTGACTTCCCACTGTTTCATGGCTCCCTTGCAGGTGTGGGACACATCTATGATGTGCTGAGGCCCAGGTTATAAACTTACTCCCTACTGCTCTCCCCTTCTTTAAGTCTCTGGACATTACAGGCTAAAACTGGCAGCAAACAGCAAACATACACAAAATAGAACCAACATTGCTTATAGTGGAAATAGCTAAAATCTTCAGCAATAAGCATGAGCCAACTGTATATTGCCCTACTTAAATACAGTCATCCTTAGGCTTACATTACCTAAGCTGTTGAATCAAAATAAGAAATGAAGTAATATTGGTTTTGATCACCACAGTCTTGATCTGGCATTACTGCTGAAGATTAACCAGCACAGAAAGAAAGAAAACAAGTCAAAATGTTTCTCATAATACAAACTTTCTGAGCATTCACCTTTTGCAGGAAATAATGGTAAAAAAAAACATGCATCCTTTTTTAAAGCAACATTTTGAAACAATTACCATGTCAGCACAAACCAATCTACAGTCAATACACACTTTATGATATTGCCCCAAAGAACCAAGTGTCATGCAAACAGCAGAGGATGATCCTTATCGGATCAGCAATACTGAACTAGGTTTCAGCTCTCACTACTTACCACATCAGAGTTGCAATCAGGAGGCCAACACCTACACAATCGATGAATACAACCCAAAGTAGCAGCTTTATTGTTTCAAAAAAGCCCATGTCCAGCACAAATCCAAATCCTACAGTAGACACTGAAAGGAGAATGAGGTAATTTAAATTAGCTGTGGAAAAGAAAGCATGAGATCTTATACCACTATATCTTTTTGAGTATACTGTTACAAAACATCCAGTTTCATTCTTATTTTGCTCCCCGAGATTTTCATTCCCACAACTAATTTTTTCCCCACCCAAAACTAAGCATAAAGCTATTTATTCATAATATAATCCCTTTCACAAATTGGAGAACACTCATCTGTACTTGGGCTTAACAACGTAACAGCAAATTCTATTGCTCCAAACAAACTCCTTTAAAAAAAAAAAGCCACACAAAACTACAATAGAATATACTTTGGTTCATAAAAGCTCCTTGTTAACCCAAACCATGTGTGTGGTGATACATACTTTCACTTTAGAATTAACAGTTTTGGAATTACTAAAAGCAACGTGCTATGTAACAGAAGATGACTAGGGTAAGACTTATATTTGCAGTTCAGTCTCAAAACTACACAAGAGGCTTTGTTTATACCTTAATTCTGCAATATGCAGAATCTCACTAAGGCTTTCACTGCAAAAATAGCATTTTATCTGTGATGTTCAGATAAACCAAGTGTTCGTATTTTTTTAAGTAAAACATTACTGTATGGCATGGCATATTATTACTGTCTGTAAAGTTACAGGGAATTATATATAGTTTGAAATGCAATAGGAAATGAGTTGCAATAGAGAGAATAATTCAAGACTAGATAGTATTAGTTGTCTCCTCCATTTTCTAATTCCCACTTTAACTTCCAAATGGTTCGGTCATTTTTTTCTGTTCAACTTTGATTAAAGGATAATCCATACAGGTTGGTCCTTTTGTGTGTGTGTTATTAGAAGGGCCACAAATGTATATTCCTAAACTTTCCCTGCCTCTCTTTCATGCAATTCCCTTGTACTCACCGCAGAGCCAGATACTGAGAAGCACTAAGAAAGCAGGATCATCTCTTGCCCATTGGTCCTTTGTCTGTTTTCTGTAGTGAAAGTTCCTATAAACCCTCTGTGGTGAAGTAAACAGGTAAAGCATCTGCCAAAGAGCAAACTCGAAGTCCATCTGTCGGAAGTGGAAGAGCCTCCGCAGGTACTTGTAGCGCTTGGCTCCGGCTGTATGCCTTGCAGCATCCCTGGGGCTCAGAACACCATTGCCCTGGCTCCGGGAACTAACTGAAGTAGTTGGCAGCATTTCGCTGAAGAAGAAATTTCAAAAGATGCATTCGGCTTAGCACACAATGAGGACTAAAGCCACAACCAGGCCATTCACGCCACGTAAGTTACAAATGCTACGCACAAGTATGAACTGTGACAGTCACAGGCGAGCCCGCCATGTCCTGACAGCGCCTCTGCGGACTGCTGGGGAGGGCAGTAAGCGGGAAAGGTGGAGCAGGCACCTCCGCTTCAGCACCGCCTGCCAGGCGGCCCCGACCCTGCGGCCCCATCGCAAAAGCGAGTCAAGGCCGACAGGCTCTACAGCAGGCGAAAGGCCGGAGAGCGCAGCCAGGGGCAAAGGTACGATTACCGGTCTCTCCGTCCGTAGTTCAGCCCACACCAGCCCAGCATCGCCCAAGCGACATCCGTGACCGCCCCACAAGCAACAGCCGCCGCCCTCTCAGCGGGACCCGCATCTCAGCGCCGGGTGGGAAGCACCGAGAGCCCCCATTCCCCGCCAGCAGCGGGGCTCGCACCACCGCTCCGCTCGTCCCTCAGCAACCGGCAAGGGGATGGGACCTCACCTGCTGCCGCAGCGCGACCCTCGCTTCACCCGGCGCTCGGGCCGCTACCACCCCCCGCACCAGCAGCCTTCCGGTAACGTCGGTGACGCAAGCGCCCCGGTTTGCTTCCGGGATCCACCCCGCCTCTTCCTTTCTACCGCCGGAAGCGGGATAGGGCTAAGGGCGCCCGGCATGGCGGCCGGTGCTGGTAGTGATGCCTGGGTAGGCCGCAGCGAGGTATAGAGCCTGTTTTTCCACCATGCCTAAGTACTATGAGGATAAAGAAGAGGACGGACAGGCCTGCGGGGGAGTGAGGGAGGACCTGCGGCAGTGTCTGCTGGAGAGCCCCTGCGTCCTGCAGGTGAGCGCTGCCGCTCTCCCGGGATAGGGCTCGCGGTCCTGCTGCTGGTGCTTCAGTCGCCTCCCTGGGCTTAGGGTGCCCCGAGACCCGCTCAGGGTCCTTCCCCGAGGCCTCTGTCAAACCCCTTAATTTGGGTTTTAAGAAAGTTAAGAAATGGCGACTTTAGAAGAAGGCGCGAATCACCGTACCATGACAAAATCCCGAGTAAACCTCTCGTGAAGTAGTTCGATGTCTTATTGAGAAGCTTCTGCGATCCGTTTAAGTGTGTAATCCTTTGTTTTTCGTCTCACAGGAAAATAAAAGCCCGAAGCAGTGCTTGAGGGAAGGACACTGTAGAAGTTTGCAAATGACGTTTTTTGCTTGCAAAAGATCGATGGTGAGTGTTTGTGGTGCGTTTCCTGCTAGCGGCCTGTTTTCTGAAGAAGAGCACTCAGATCGGTAAAACTGATGCCATGTAGCAGAATAAGGCTTGCAATTGAAGTCTTTTCAAAAATACGGATGTTGTACATCTATACATCTGAAGAGAAAGCAGAGTGTAAAAGAGTTGGAAAAATGCATATTTGAATTAGGCTTAGAATGTGACAGGTAAATGAGGCATTTTTGCTATTGTTTTTATTAAAGCTTTGGTTTAGGCAATATTAGTAGGTCAGGTAATTGTGAGATAAGATACTGACAAGCTAATTTTTGTTTGAGGTCATTGGAAGAGATCTGTATGGAGAACATTTAAGTGAAGAGGTTGTGCTATTGAAAAAAAGGCTTTCACTGATGAAGCTGGCTCTTGCATTCAAATTACACTATTCTTCATTTTCTTAGAGGACTTGAGTTCATAATAAGTAACAGTTTGGGTTTTTTTTAACAGTGAGCCGTTAAGTATGATAGTGTGAAGACAGTTTTAAAAATGTAATTAGATGAAGTTTCCCCTATTTTATCCAGAAACGTGTTGGTTGTTTCCACAACATTTAAAAAGGGGTTAGGATGTTGTAAAGGTAGTATCAAAACTTTCTAAGCATAAGTAGTTCTGGGCTCACTTTTATTTGTAGGCAGTGTGGTGCATAATGAAGAACATGCAGCTAAAATGGTACCTAAAATTTTTCTTCCATTCTGTATTTTTATTAAAGTTGTAGCAGCATTTCGTACCCCTCATATATAAACTGTATTAATACATAGTGACAAGTTATTATTATTTCTGTGGACAGGAAAAAAACTCTGTGTATTTAATGCTTGAAATATATATTTGAGATATATATATATATATATATATGTATATGTTGCAGCAGTGATACCATTACATGATGTGCCTGTATTTCTGTCTGTAGATTGCGAAGGGAACCTGGTGAAACTAAGTTTCTAGCCAAGTGTCTCCTGTCATGCAGGAAGAGGCCTGGCTCTTACATGGTTGTGTTTAACTGCTCCAAATTCTAAGGCTGATGAGTGACATTTTTCTTGCCCTGTGACCTCTGTAAATTTCAATAATCCTGCTCTGCCGCATTTGATACTTGGCATAATAGTGAGGCTGAGAGTATCCAAAACCAAGTTAGATGCTAAATGCAGATGTAATTTATAGTATGCTAAAACCATTAGGGGGTTTACCTAGATTCTGTTTTCTTTCTAAGGAAATGTAATGTCTTGTACTGAAGTTTATTTCCCTACTATTTTAGACGTTGAAGTAGGATTAAGGTTTAGAGTAGAAGCTGCTTGTCTTGGACAAGCTATGTCATCATGTAGTTTAGCTCTTTACAAATTTTGCTGGAATTCTGAAGGAAGGTTAGTTAATGGTGGTAAAATACCCACCCTCAGATATTAGATTGATTACAGCTGAATTGCGGTCTGAAGCTGCTGTCTACAAGACTGACTAAAGTCAGAAGAATTTTCCCAAGATCAAAATATGTTTTTCTGCTGCACTGGCAAAGAACTTGCAGTTTAGCTTGTGTAAGTGCGCTCTGTAGCTTTTATTTTAGCTTTACTGCAATTTTTTGCTTCCATTAAATGGCTTTTTTGTAACTGCCAAGAATAAACCCACAGATTTCACAAGCTGAATATTATTTCACTTTTTACTGTGGTTTGGTGTTTTGTTGGGCTTTTTTTTTCCCCCTAGAAACTTCTTGTATTTAAGTTACCCTTTTCCTCACTGATGTTTGCAGTGATTCCCACTTCAACCCAATCTGAATTTTGCTCCTTCAGCTTATCAGTTAAGTTTGGAAAAAGAGATCTAAGCAGATGGACACTACCTTGTTTTTCCATGTTCCTTGCCACCCCACTATGATGTTCTGTCATTTGTGTTATTACAGAGAATGCATATCACATATTTTTAATTTCAAGTGAAATTCAAGGTAATACAATGTCTTTTTCATTGGAAGAACCCCATGATTTGTTGGCTACATCACTAATTTTCTTTACAGTAAATTCTGCTGTATTTTGGGCTTTGTTCTGATGTTATGAAGTGCCAAGACTTCACAAGCACTCTAAAGCATTTCTTTTGTAAAATGCATGTTTTTAATATATTGATTTCAATTTTCAGTTGGATACTAGGGCAAGATTCAGAGGAAGGAAAGGATACTGAAGTCCCCATGAAGAGACACAGCCGTGGGAAATCAGGGCTCATCAGTACTTTACACAAAACAGAGACTAAAGGAAGAAGACTATCTGCTGCATCCTTTTATACAGTAATTTCCTGGAAGGTACCCAATCCTGAGTATTCCAATAGATTGACCTGGATGTGCATTTAAATGTTAAAATGAAGAGAAGTGTAGAACTGCAAGTTCTGGCCAAAATGGGGACTTGTCATGCACTTGCAATAAAATACATAAAATCTAGAGTAAGCTGCAGAAGTTATCATTCTGTTTTGAAGTGAAGTTGTCTTTTGTGGTTTCACTAATTCTGAACATGTTTACTATTTCACATGACACAAGATATGAAACTGGAGTTCACTCAACTGGTATCCCAGAGGATACCTCAGGATAGAGCTGTTTGAGTTGAATGAGGTTCTGAAATGTATGCAAGCTGTTTCCACCCCAGTAGGTTTGCTGCCCTATAAACCTGCACTAACAGGTAGGAGCAGTGATGTTTTTCCAGTCCCATATGTACAAGGATGGCATCTCTTTCCTCTTGCTACAAATCCCTTTAATGTGGTGATTGATGTAAATGGTTATTAGCACTGTCTAGTCTTGTTGGGCAACTGGGTTTACATTTGGTTACTCTAAATTAAAAGATGTCTGATTTATCTTTCAAGTAGTCTGTCTTCTTTATTGTATTGACACAAGTCCAAGAGAACTCTAGCATTATCCTAATCAATGACTTGAAAGCTGGATGCTTGGTTGTAGCTAATTGTATATCTTTGGATGGGTGAGAAAGGTGTTCCTCAGGCCAGCAGTTGAGGAAACCATGGCAGCTATTACTATGTTCTAGAAGTATTTACAGCAGTACGTGAGTTCCTCTTGAGATGACCCTGAATGGTCTTTCTGCATTATTTTCCAAGCAATTGTATAAATACTAATCCACTGGACTTTATTGTGTTTATAGTAGTGTTCCACAGATTTACTTTCTACTTTGTGTAAGCAGTATTCTCATTTTTACTTTGTCACTTCTCTCTGAAATCTTTGGTTCTTGTTTATGGGTATAAAATACTCAAATTCTCATTCACTTAAATGGTAACTAGTTCCTGCTATACACTTCTTAATACTTGCTCTTTCTTGAGAATATTAGTGCTTTGTCAAATTTCATATAGTTTCATATGTTATAAAAAAACTGAAGTGAAAAAGCAAAGAAATTAAGAGGGAACTATTGTTTTGCATTCCTTTGATCAAGTATGGCTGTGGCAGATCTATCTGAGGTATGACAGTATTCGTCAAGACAGATGACATCTATCAGGTAGTCTCTCTTGCCCCACCCTGGTAAGGAAGCAGGGTTTATGGGGGTAACAAGCATTAAATAGTGCTTAAACCACGACTGTGATCAATACTTACTGGTTCTGTTTGAGAACTTGTTTCTGAAGAATGTTTCTTTTTCCTTTCTTCAGTGTGTCTGAAGAAATAAATGGTACTATAGCTCTTACATAGGGAAATTTGAATAACTTCAGACAAGGTGATCAGAAAAAAGATTAGGAAATAGGAGAGGTGAGAGAGTCATAGTAACTTCTTGGCTAAAACTTACGGCCATGTGGCTGATTTACATTTAGTCTGAACAGATGCAAGCAACACTTACGCTTGTAAAACTGATGACTTGAGTGAATGAGTGTGTGTTGATTATTTAATTCTGTCTGCCTTAAGCAACTGCAAAGTGTGTTTATATTCCTTGTATGTGTAGGATTTTATTTTTGCAATCATAAATCAACACCGATTTCACATTTTCATGTTCTGTCGATTAAGTGAAAGCTAGTTCATTTGTCGAAGTGCTGTAAACATACTTTGTTTTCCCTAGTTAACATGTTATCTCTTTACATATACTAAAATGATAAATTGGTGCTGTATAAATACTGTGTATTATAGTTACAGTAGATAAATTGTATATAAATATTGTAAGAGTATTAATTATAGCACTCTAATTTCAAGCTTTTACTCACAAGCCTTCTCCCTTTGGGGAAAAAGAAAGACATTAAAAAAGGGAGTAAAAATAAATTCAAAGCCTATTGGCAGGTAGTTAAATGTCAGGGAGAAGAGTGGG